AAGAAAAATAAGCCCAAATACAGACTCTAACCCCTCCAAAGAGGGACTCTAGCCTCTTACCAGGATGGTCAGTCCTGGCTAGAATCTACCAAAGTCATTGTAAGGGACCTAAGATGGAGTCCCGTTTGCCGAAGGTACCTGATGCAAAGCAAAGAACCGGCGCCTGCTCCAGTGGGAGACTTAAACCCTGCCAAATCCCATGGGTGGCTTCAGCCCCCACCTGCAGGATCTGCAGGGCCCCGCCCCCCTCCGAGGGGGGAGCTCTGGTGCAGTCAGCACACTGAGATGTTGCCCTTTGGTTCCAGGAAGAAGACCAGGGGACCAAGCAAAGAGCACTAACATGAGACAGAAAAGAAAATTCTGAGAGAAGGAATGGGAAAAGATAGTTGTTTTGAGGAATGGGATGGTCAGTGACGACAAACGGAAGCTGAAGCCCACAGTCCCCGTGACTCTAGAACAAAGAGGTCCCGGCCACCCCTCAGTCACTGGTAGAGGTCACGGAGTCTGGCAGCCCCAGTTCTGCTGGGTCCTGTCTGTTCATGGTCGCCAAATGTTACCTCACTCAGGTCCTTTGACCCCGCAGTGGTAGAGATGAGACTAGACCCCAAATGTAAAAGCACAGGCAAAGCTTTCTTGGGGCTCATGCCCCAGCATGGGGGCGGGGGGCAGCACAAAGGAAAGAACGCTCAGGCCTACTCTCCAAGGAGAGGTCAGGTGGAATATTTTTTAAAGGAACTTCAGCGGGAAAAGGGTGCCCTATAGGCAGGGAGAGGTGGGGGGGTCATTAGCCCCTGAGTGCTCACAGGCCCTGCAGCTTGGCTAACTCTCCACCCCTGGGCATGGTTTTTAGTATTCTCATGAGGGGAAAAAGTCAGTGAAAGTGAGGTACTGGGGTCCGACTTGTTGAAGACTGGTTTGCCCTGGACTGGGCTTGTTTCTTAGCTGGTGCCTTGCTCCGCCAGGAAAGCCATGATGGCCATCAGGCAGTGGGGAGTTTTCCAAGTGCACAGAGGCTTGTCCCCAGGGTCCCTGACTGTCGCATGTCTAGGCTGCAGAAACCTGGCAAAGCCGGGTTGGAAAGAATCAAAATGCAACACCTCTTCTTACCTCATGATTTCTTTTTCTAGCTCAAGCCAAGAAAATATCTTTTTAAAAAAGTTCATTTAAATAAAATTATAAAAATAATATATATTATATTATATTTATAAAATATTATATTATAAAAATAAAAATTATCTATTAATAAAACATACTTCCCTTCTATGGCTGAGGGTATGGTATGGATCCAGGAAGCTTGGGAATTACTGTCCCACAGCTGCGTACTGTGGGGAGTAGCCCCCAATGGAGAGCAGAGCTGGAAGGCGCTGTTGTGGCCACACACCTGCTTCAAGTGAGGCCCAAGTCCTTCAGGGATCACTCTGTTGATGAGGCCCTCACAGCTGCGCTTGTCTTAACCAGCAGCCAGCTGCTTGCCTGACATGTACAAAACCTGCCCCTCTCCACAGCTCTTCAGGAGAGCAACCGGCAGGGAGAGAGGACCAGTTGTGTAGCTATATCCACAGCGCAGTGGCATTGTGTCACCAAGCTGCACCAAAGCACCAGGGCTGACCAGTAACAGCTCTTGCTGTGTGGACTAGTAAGAACCCTTCCCAGTAGCCTACGCTCATTTAATTCACCCCACGGTGAGCCTCCCCACCACTTTCCATTTACACTCTTTGTCGTCTACATCTCAAGGTTTCTTGGACGAAACACCAGCTCCTACATTTCCGCAGCATGATTGCATCTTGGAGCATGCAGACCTAACGCCCACTGTCCCAGAGCTTGCCCCGTAGTGTTTTTGGCATTTATGAGGTCGGGGGTTCCTGCTCTCTGCAAGCATGCTAGTTCCTAAAAAGGTGTGTGTTGGGGGGTGGGGGCACCTGGGTGTCCGGTAAAGCCTCTGACTTTGGCTCCCGTCATCCTCTCCCTGTCCTGCCCAGAGATTCCCTGCTTAGCAAGGAGTCTGCTTGCCCCTTTGCTTCGGCCCCTCCCCCCTGCATGTGTTCTCTGTGCCTCAAATAAAATCTAGAAAAAACAAATCAAAAGTAAGGGACACTGGGTAAGCTGTGAAAGTTCCTCTCTTTTTTCTTTTCTTTTTTTTTTTTTTTAAGCTTTTATCCTTTCACTTGAGAGATGGTAAGAGAGAATATGAGAAGGGGTAGGGGAGAGGGAGAAGCAGGTTCCCTGCTCAGCTGGGAGCCTGCCCTGATGCAGGGCTGGATACCAAGACCCTGGGATCATAACCTAAACCAAAGGCAGATGTTTGACTGACTGAGCCACCCAGGTGCCCCGAGAGTGTCTCTTAAACTCAACCAGTAGAGAAGTTATTCATCCCCCTGTTCCTATGAATAAGTGAAAGAGCCCAGAGTGTGTAATGGTTGGTGTTATCCTCCCTGATGTCCCTCAACAAGGAGGAGACACAGAGCCAGGAGAAATGATGCCCAGCCTCGGTACCTGAAAATATGTCCTTTCCTTTTGCTTAGTTTTGCGAACTTCCAACTTCCCTATTCAGAAAAAAAATAAGTCTCCTTTAAAAAAATAAGAATAGAAACACTTTCTCTTTGCTTTCCCATCACTTAACCCAGAAGGAACTACAGAGTGACAAATTTTAACATTTGACACCTGAAAACAATTTTAATCACACTTTCTTAACTTTGAATATTGTTGGTAAATTCAAGCATCCATTTACTTTGTTATCTAGTCATGTATTCAACAACCATATACATTAGGAGGAAGCTGTATGTGCAGGGTTAAACACTGCAAAGTTATTAAAAAAAAAAAATTCAGGTATGATTCCACCTTCAAGGAAGATCTAATTTGCTAGAGAAAGGAAGATACAAATAGGACTGTAAAATAACATCAAATGATGAGCAAAATTAGGGATTCATAAGTTCCTATGGGCAAACCAATAAGAGTCCATCTTGGAGCATCAGGGAAAAGTTAGGGAGGGTGAAATGGATGAACTAGTCTCTCCTAGAGGGGGACCTTGGTGCTGGACAGGGGAGAGACCTGTCCGTGGCGAAAGAAGAACATTGTTTCACGCAACATACACTCCTACAATTTTATGCACGGCTGTGAACCAGACAGCTGTAGATCTTACTTGCAAGGGAGAGAAACAAATAATAAATGAAGGAATACATACTTAATACAATGTTAGGAAGGGGTTGGTACTATAGAGAAAAGTAAAGCCGTCAAAGAGCAATTAATGAATTAGTGCTCTTCCCATAGAGTGGTTAAGAAAACCTTTTTTTTTTTTTTTAGAAGATGACCTTTTAGCAGGGATCTGAAACCTCTAAATCTGAAATATACATGTCTATGGCATATGCATTATATTTCTATCTTATTTGAAACATTCAATAGATTCCTGTGTTTCAAAAATTTAATAAGAATAAAGGAGTTTGCTTTTAAAAAATAACAAATATATAAAAGAAAAAAGCAGAAATCTCCATCCCTCCCATGGTTTCTAGCTACTCAGCGAATAACCTGTGTCTGTATCTGGAGAAAACTTGTAAATATCATCTGGAGAAAACATTGTAAATGTTTGGAGAAACATTTACACTTGTAAATTGTAGACTGGAGAAAAGCTATTTCAGGCTAAAGAAATCGGGAGTAAAGAAGCCCAGAAGCCAGAGTTCCTTTGGTAAGTTTGAGAAAATGCAAGAGCTAGAGAAAGGAGAAGAATCCCAGGAAATTGTTACAGAGGCCAGATCATGGAGGGCTGGTGGGCCACGGGAAGGGGTCCAGATTCATGCAAAGCGTGGTGAGAGGTTGTTAGGAAATTTTGAGCCCTGGGATGATCTGATCTTATCTCTGTTTTTAGAAGCTCACTAAGCAGTATACAAAACCGGCTGTAAGAGAACAAAAAGGACAGCTGGCAGGCTAGTCAGGGGGCTATGGTACGAGTCCCAGTGAGAAAGGAATAGGACTTGAATGAGGGCAAATATGTAGAAAAAATGGAGTAATCTCGGATTCTCCTTTTGAGTTAAGAAGTTATTAGCTACGTAACAATAGAATGAAGAAATACCTAGAGAAAGTTGTTTCTTTGTTCATTCAGATTCATGATTTCAGTTTTCTTTGGAACTTTTCTCTTGCATGTCAAAACCATCTGACCGGGTACAGGGTGGCTCAGTGGGTTAAGCCACTGCCTTCGGATCAGGTCATGATCTCGGCGTCCTGGGATCGAGTCCCGGATTGGGCTCTCTGCTCAGTGGGGAGCCTGCTTTCCTCTCTCTCTCTCTCTCTGCCTTCCTCTCTGCCTGCTTGTGATCTCTCTCTCTCTGTCAAATAAATAAATAAATTAAAAAAAAAACCAAAAAACGTCTGATCACCGTCCCTAAAAGTGTTAAGTCCATGTTTGGAATAATGAAGTCATGTTGCAAATTCAAAAATCTAACAAAGTAAGTGTAGCGTACAAGTAATATGTTTCATGGAGACTTCAAACCTGATGATATCTAATAATTGTTAATGATGCAAATTATCTACGTGGCTTATCCTTTAAACTGTCAAGGTGACTTTATGACTTTTTAAAAATTAGACCGTTGAGTAACTTTTTTTAAGAAGTTGTCCATCCCTTCAGTAATGGCCTATCCACAAGCACCCCGATTTCTTTGTATCTTCTTTAGACGAGGCATGATTAAGAAGTTAAATGGAGAGACTCCGTCAAACTCATTTAATTTTCTGTGGTGTTGGAATAAGTGTGTTGGCCCCTTAAGCAGATCGTGCAATATTGCTTTTCAGATCGAGGGCTTTCTGTCCAAATGCACCACGTCTCAAAGGAGAGGATAGCTGCTGAGCTTTGGGGCTGTACCCAAATTGGAATGTAATGTTTGTTCAACAAAGCATGGCAGCTAAACCAATAGAATTGTTTGTTGTTTAGTCTTTCTTATTAGACCACGTTGTAAAGCTCCGAGGAATGTCAAATGCTAAAATGAATTAAAGCGCATTTTCTTCTCCCCTCCTAGATATTTCTGAATGCAGAAAAAATCCGGCTGGGGAATCTACCGACGGGCTCTTCCTCCTCCTCCTCGCCGAGCTCCTCAAATTCCCGGCAGACCGTGTACGAACTGTGCGTCTGCCCCAACGGCAAACTTTACCTTTCTCCAGCAGGAGTAGGCTCCACCTGTCAGTCCAGTAGCAACATCTGCTTGTGGAGCTGAAGTGACCGATTCCTCCTCACACCAGAATAGCCTTTTGTTCCTGTCCGTCTGCTTCACAGTCCCGCTCGGTTTCCCTTGTGATCAGTCCAGAGCTGCTTCAAATGGTCCACAGAGCAACTTCTTCCAGTGCAAGCAAGGGTTCGCCGCCACCTTCTCTCGTGATTTCCCGTCCTGCTCGAGGCAGAGTGTGGTGACAGGACAGTGGAAAAATCGTCTTCAGCGGGAAAACTGGATCATAACTTTTGCTCAAAAGGGAGAAAAACATAGGTGCCTTTGCTACATGAAGTGAAGCACAGTTTTAGATTTTTGCAGGACCCGGAGATGAACCGCATATACATACATTAATTACATAGATGAAATTCCCAGTATCCAATGGCAAGATGAGATGGTTGACCCTGTCAGAAAACTAATTCTACAGCCTGAAAGCACAATTTTCCAATCGGTTTTTTTTTTTTTTTGGATGTAAACTTTTATCCCCGAATTTTAAAATTTTCAAGCATTAGATGATGCTTGCTTTGCTAAAAATTAAATTCAATACATGATTTTTAACAAAACGAAACAAGACAGAATTCCACCCTGAGTTTTGTTTCTTTGAATTCAGTGTGTTGTTACTCTTTGTCTACTAAGTCTAGAATTTTGTACATTAGGTAATTTTGAAAGCACTCAGCAATATAATCTTTACAGAATTAACAGAACACCATTATCCTGTCATTTGTCCGATCTGAATGGCCTTATATAGTATTTACTTGCTTTTTGCATGTGACGTATTTGCTTTTAACGAAACATCTAATTTATTGCAATATAAGATAGGATTAAGAGGGGCATACCGATGGTGTGGAATCCATAGTTTTTTTGTTTGTTTTGTTTTGTTTTTAATTCACATGCTATCATTTCCATGAGGTTCTCATAGTACAACTTTCTGTTGGCTCCATTCACTTTCTATTTGACTCTGACTGCTAAAATTCAAACATATCCGCGAAATAAATAAATTACTAATGTGATGCATTTTGCCGAGAATGGATTCACTTTCCATTGGAATATAATCTTCAGAATTATATCTATGTATTTTTTTTATTGGAGGTCAAGATTTAAGGATGGTAGAAAATAAATTACAAATCCCTGCTTACACAGTAAAAAATATAAATGTTAACAAATATTGACTATGTGTTTGCTCCACTAGATTCCTATTTTCAGGAATTTGGTCCTATTTCCTTTCAGCTATTAATACTTAGTTACCTTGATTAGACTGTTAAGCTACCCAGCTACCCTGGCATCAGAAATCATAGCTCCTTCCATTCTCTACTGCTAATATTTTGTAAATTAGCACTAGTAACTCCAGAATAATATAGATTCGTGTATCACAACAACACTCCTTAACTTGAATTCTTGAAACTTAGAGAATCCAAGAATGTAAAATTGAATTAAATATTTCCTATTATGGGAAGATGACTTGATTACTCTAAGGTAAGTCCTTAATTTTCACCTGTCAGTCACTTACTTTCCCCTATGCTCATTATTGCAGGTATATGGAAGCTTCATTTTGGGGGCCCATGAACATAGAACCTTTAAAATTCAGGCCTCTGTAGCATAGAGCAAAGTGGGAGATGGGAACTTGTTGGAGTAATTTGTCGAAAGTAGGAAAATTAGATAATGCAAGGAACAAAGTGAACCATTTGGCCAGAATTATCTTGTTTAGATAACCTAACATTGAATGCTTGGAAAAGCTCCATTTTACTAAAACACATTCTGTATCCACCAAAAAGTCCAAAAGCTAGTGCAGTTTTATCACTTTTAAAATAGAACTTGTCTTGTGTTTGCGGGTTATCATAGAAAACTTAAATAACTATTGGAGTAAGAATTTATATGCAGTTGCTTAAAACCTCCTATCATAATGTAAGTGTTCAATTTATTTAAGTTGGAACATTAGAATTTAATGAGAAATTCTCACATTGGTTTAGCAAAGTACACAAAGTATAACACAAGAAATTTTGAGAAATTATGGGTGCTAATCACTGTTATGGACCTTTTACGAAAACACTGTGTATTAATTTGAGACATATTCAAGTTCTAAACATCCCTAAATTAAAACAATTAGAAAGGTTTTTTTAGTCAAATGGAAACAATTTTTTTGATTAGTAATTAGCACCCTTTCTAATCTCCGCTCTGTCTTCTACTAATCAGTGAGCTGATTTAGGCAGTCTGGGAATATCTCCAGACTCCTGGTTTACTCCACTATACAACAAAAGTATGGGCTCTACTGGTCTCTTGAGAACTCTAACATGTTCTAATTCCAAGAGCAAAAATTCTAGGTGATGGAAGGGTCCACTAAATTTTAAATCCTGTGTCGTAAGAGGAGAAAAGCCAAGAGAGAGGAGACAAACGCCATAAAATCCAATTCTGGTGAGGGGCTGTCAATTTCAAGTTCAAATATGTTCTGAAATGCTAGACACAATTCGAAAGAAATATATGTTAAGAGATTTAGACTATGTCTAAATGATGTAAAATATCTTTGATTTAGTAGAAATAGTGATACAGGTGCCTCTGCTATCCAACACTGGGCAGCTGGTTGAAATTACTAGGCTGGCTATTTTAAATTCCTTAGAATCTAGATATAGACTCAGCCTCAGAGTTGGAGCTTCTGTTGAAGGCACGGAAGATTGCTCCTAAAAGTCCTTCATTTCCTCATAAACGAAGGTTTGGTTCTCTCCTACTACAGAGTTCCCTTAACTGTAGACTGTGAACCAGATTCATCGTCTGTTTCTCCAGTGGTATTTTTCTGTTACAACCTATATAAATAGAGTGCAGTTTACGCAGATGCAAATTTCATCTTTCCTAATTTAACTAAAAAAAAAAAAAAAATTCCTTTGGGTGTAATACATGGACCTTAAACTTTGTATTGAGTTCAGCTGGAGAAGGCAGGAAAGGAAGAAGGGAGAAAGTCAAGCAAACCCACAGGCAAAAGGGATAAAAGGAAGGAAAGGGATTGACCATATTCCTAGCATGTACATTTTTAGCTGGGGATGAAAAAACAAAGTATCTGAGTTCTGTTTCTGGGGGGTTAAAGGAGAGAAGCAAAGAAGACACATTATCCCTCATGCTTTTAGAATATTTAAATGAGACACTCTCAAAAAAATACTTCCAAATTTCCTTTTTTCACTCAACATCTCCAAAATTTCTACCCTGTATTTCTTGGTCCTATTTTTTTTCTTATTAGGAACCACAAGCTTTCTAATTTAGTACTTAATTATTTATTGAAGTGTTCAAGATAATTTTTACTTCAGATTTGATATTATCAGGAAATCTTAGATTTCAGTACCCCAAATCTCTGAAAATGTATCCTGGAGTTTCATTTCTAGTTCTGTGCCTACCTACTCATGTGACCTTAAGAAATATACTTCCTTATCTTGACCACAGTTTACTTACCGGTGAGAGGGGTACAGCAAACTAGAAGTTTCCTCTAGTTTTCATCTCTAAAATTTCACTGATTTCGCTTAAGAAGAGACTCAGCACTCTTGAGTTCAGTAGCTTAGTCTGAATTAGCATTACTGATCTCCTTCTATACCTTAACCTGTTTCTTGTTGGAATGTTGAAATGCACATCTTTCTGGCATCCTGCTCCTTACTCCTTTTTTCTATATTCTTTCTTGTTCTTACTATGTGAACATTAATGTCCCTTTCATAAATAATATGTCACTGACAGGCTTCAGGAATATGGTTGACATTTTAAAAAGAAAAGGATGTATTTGGGTCTTATTGAAAAGAACTGCTTGGGAAATTAATAGAGATATTTACCAAATATTAATACTCCGTTGATCATTCTGTTACTACTTATCCCCATCAAACTAAAAAACTCTGGTCTTCTGAAGAAAAGGTAATTTGATCACAAAGTTCAGTTGCTGACTTTTTATAAGATGCTATGCCATTCAAACTTCCTGCATTTTCTACCATCTGAATTTCTCCGTTGGACAGTGCCTCATTTTATTAAACTGGTATTTGATACAAGAAAACTCCAAATGCATCGTGTCATTGCAAACATGCTATCTCCATATGAGACAGCAATTGGTAGAAGGCTGGAGAGTGTTTAATGCTTTTAAGTGCTATATTTTATAACAGATAGCATCAGTATCATAATATTAAATTATTAAAATAGTTGAAGATATTTAATGGCCAAATTTTCTGTACCACCATCAAAGCCAAATTCATGTTTGAGTTTCACATGAGTAAGGCCTTATAACCTTATTCTTCCAATAGCTTTGGTCTAATTATCATTGCTCATGTGACCATATTTAAAGATACTTGGAGAAATTATTTTCTCTCTGTAGTAGTGTATATGATAGCAGTGAATATTACAAAATATCATTATCACAAAGTAAAATGTTATATTTTTATTTAAAACAATTATAAACTAATGAATGACCTCATTGAACACTGTTATTCATATTGTTTTATACTGCAGTTCATTAGTTATTTAAATGTCAAAGACCAAAGACTGGGATTTCTATTATATTTAACTCTACAACACTATTGCTTCTACTAATCAATTTAAATGAATAGGAGGGCTTATAGTTATAACATGAGGTAGTAAACATCCTCCTGGCAGGATTCTGAGCTATAGATCATTAACTAATGTCTTGGTTTAAGAAGGAAAATTTTGTTAGCATTGTCCATTTACTTTTTATACATGCATAATAAACTCCTTGATATTCATAAAACCAGTATATAAAGACTATATCCTAAAAATGGGTCCAGGCTGGATTGACTCAGCTGAGTTTAAACTTTCGTTGTGTGGTAAAAATTCTTTGGAGAATATAATTAATTTGAAATACTCTTAGAACCAGAGGGCTATTTTTTAAGTGTTGATTGAAGCGGTTCTGCTCTTGGAGAAAGTCAATGAACAACATGAAAGGAAATGAGGTATAATGAACTGTGATCCTTTGTTTTTGCAGTCTTAATACCTCATTTGTCTGAATGGTTATAAATAAAAGCCAAACAGGGTTGAAGATGTGCAAGGACATTCACTAACAATGGAGATACGTAATTTCAAGTCTGAGTGTCTCGTTATCTATACAATTCTTTAAACCAGGTCCACTACTCATTTATTTTGTTTTGTAATTTTCATGTAAATGTTTTCTTGTA